GAGTGAGTGAGTGAGTGAGTGAGTGAGTGAGTGTTCAGGTTTCAACAGTATAATAAATTTGCATGTATAATATTTGAAATGTTTTATATGCTTTTCTTTGATGCTAAAAGATATTTATCGTGGTAAACGCGTTCATCGTCATGTTTTTATATTCATGCTGTTTGAATAAACTTCATGATTACAGCGAAATAATAATAATGATGATATATCATTATTCCTATTTCACATTAAAAATACAGTTCTAATACAGTTTTTTTTTGCTATATTTACTTTGTATTTCTATTTTATATTCCTTATATTTCTTATTACGTACATTTCTTACTTTTTTATTTTGAAAGGAAATATGAATACGCGTGGTACGCTGAAAGTAAATAGTAACATAACATTACATGAATATTATAATTTCTGACGATGTAACTGTTGTGTACACAATATTAAATTTATATTGAGTAGAAAATTATAATATTAATGTAATGTTACTGTTAGTGTGTATTTTTTAGTGGGTAGCTAATTTATTTTGAAAGAAAAATTTATTGCATATTAACAGCAAGAGAATCTCTTACTATTAATATGCAACAAGTTTTTATTAAATATATGATTTTTCATGACTAACCGGGGTGCTGCGTTTTGTTTGTTATTGTGAAAGTCTGATTATGTTATCAGTTCATAATGTATGTACCGTTTCATCTGAAGAATGATGTGTGTGACGCATATCGTTTGAGAAATAAATGGTGACTCGCACCTTTTAAACTTATTTTATACGAGAATTGAGTTATCATCAGAGATAATAACAAAGCATGCAGGACAAAGTACGGAATGTTGGTGCCATCTATACAAGTATAATATTATCTAATGATAAAAAATATTTTATATAAGGAGAATTCTACTAGAAATTATAATAAAATTTAATGAAATTTTGTTATATAATAAAAATTCTTGAAATTTTATTATTTAATATTTTGTTACTAAATATTAGAAACCTGTTTTATAATTATAAAATGTAATCAGTTTTATTATTTTAATTATTTCTCTTGGAAATTTTTAATTTATATAAATAAAATCGAATGTAACCCAATCATTATAAAATTAAAGAGCAGTCTACTTTTTAAATTTTTTTTAATATGTATATATATTTTTCTATTATATTTAATATATTATTGTTATCTAATTTGTATTTAATACATTTATGCTTTCATTTAATATAGTTTTCATATTTATTTTCATCTTAGGCTCAACATTAGGTACATTCACGAAAGTAGTAATCTCCGAATGTAGTACGTCTGATGAAAAATGTATTTTTGAGCGCGGTACTAATGCATCTATGTCTATCAGCTTTACACCTAGTGAGTATGAGAATTATATCCAAAGTCACAAATTTTATCTGTGAGGATTCAGTTTTAATTTAATGATATTAAATATATTTAAATTATTAGTTAAAAATACATATATACTTAAGATATACATCTTTCTATAATCTATAATATTATTGTATATAATTATATAATATTTGATACATAATAAATTAAATTAATTAATTATAGATCTATAAATTTATTAAGTAATGATCGTTTTATAATTATAATGTATTATTTTTTTGTGCATTTCTTTTACAGACCAAGATATCTCGAAAATCTTTGCACGTGTTTACGGTATAATAAATTTTATTCCAATATCTTTTCCATTAAGCCAGCCTGATGTGTGCAAGGATTCTAATGCTGGGATCAAATGTCCTTTACATAAGGATCAAGAATATAATTATACAACTACGATGGTCCTGCAGAAGCGTTTCCCTTCGGTAAATAGCCTTACATATAAACTTTAAATTTACCTTCGGTAAAATTTAAACTTTATATGCTATATATATTTCGATTTCTTTAAGAGATTTAATTTAGATTTTATTGATATTGAAATATAATTTATACACACACACCTACGCGCGCGCGCGCGCACGCACAGAGAGAGAAAGTTTTAATTTAATTGATATCTTTTGAACGACTAATTAACAAGTTTTATTTTAATAAATTAAAAATATTTTTTTATCTCCAATTTATTAAAAATTCTAATTAAGCCGTTAAGAATATCTTTTATATGTAATAAAGTCTTTAGACTTATGTGTTCAATTAATAATTTTTAATTTTTATTATGTAGGTGAATGTCAAGATTAAGTGGGAGTTTGTGGATGAGAAGCATGACAAAATAGTGTGCATAGAATTTCCAGCCAAAATTAAGTGATCCAAAAGATATCTCAACAAATGGAAAATATAGAAAAATATTGAAGATTTTATCTTGATATGAAAGTGCTATTTTTTAATTAAATATTTTGACATAAATTTAATATGTAATATTTAACTTCAAATATTGCCATGTCAAAGCATATTAATATGAAAAAATGATGAGAGAAATAAATATAAATTTAAAAAGATCATTGGTTAGTATATATGCTCATATATATTTTAAATATCAACTTTTTTAATTATAAACGATTTAGAATCTCAATAAATAAGTGATACATTATTCCATATATTTTATTTAGCACTTTATTAGATATTTTTCTTTGTAAAATATACTAATTTGATAATTTTCTTTTGTAAACTAGTTCAGTTTACAAAACTTGTTTTAAAACAGTTATAAACAAGAAATAAGATCAAAATTTCAAAGTTAATGAATAATTAATTTATTTAATCAAATTAAATGTTATCATTTTATTGAAATACTAGTAGTTCAAATTTAGCTACACAGTTGTTTTTTCCGCTGCACTGTACGTATACCTTTTGCAGTTATAAAACGATGAGTAAAGAATAAGAAAAATAAAATAAAATAAAAATTAGCAGAAAATGCAGGGAGCTAAAAAAAGATAAATATTTCCGTTCGTTGGATCTAAAATGAACCTTGGTAACTTCAGTTTTCTCCCTACTTTCTATAAGTTATCATCAACTATTTATTGTGTTTTCAACCTTATCTTGCGATCGATTGTCCATTTCAATCTGATGAATTGTTCGCTTACTACGTTGAACTTCCGAATTTTGTTGTTTATTTCTCAGTGTCTTCTCTGCCTGATATATAGGTTCATATTCTCTTAGTTGAATCATAAAACCTTCGTTCGGATTTATGCAGAATCTTCTTTGTTGCACCATCGAATATGCATGCCTAAGATAAATATTACAAATATTTTTCGATATTGTAATTTCAGTAAACAGAAGTGTGAGAATTATCGAATATGTAAAATAAATGTATAATTCTGTAATTCAGACAAAAATATTGTTATTTATAGAAAAAAATTTACATTTGTGAAAGTTCGTATGTTTCCATAACATACGCCAAGACCAACGCGGCAGATCTCGAAATACCAGCGTTTCCATGAATCAGGACTCGACCGCCTAAATTTAAGGCTTCATCAATGAATACTTTTACCTTTTTGAAATGTTGAATGATATTTTCCGTTATTGTGTCAGCGATCTCCAAGACTAGGTATCTATAGAAAATATAAGCACATAAAATATAACTCCATAAAGAGAAATTAAAGACACATTGATTCAAGATTAATTAAATCTTAAGTATATTACTATGAAAAAATCATTATGAAGCTAATCGTACAATTAAAACATAAAATAAAATTAATAATTAAAAATATTAAGAAAATCAGAAATAAGAACTTTTTCAAGTTCTTAGACTCATTCCCATTCTCTTTTTTGTTAAGCCATTATATAAACTGTTGCAATTAAAATCACGTACTTGAAGCTGTTGGGAAAGTTTGGTTTTATAAGGTTTGCCTCAATAGCGTGCCTGACACAAACTATATGTGTTATTCCATGATCAAGCAAAGATTGCAATTTAGAGCGACTGGCAGCACTATACGGACCAAGAAACACACCAGGTACCACTTCCTATAATACAAAATATAGACATAGTGTATATTAAATAAATGATATATAAATTTTTGTAAAAAAATAATAAACAAGAAAATTAAATGTATACTAATTTTTTACGAACTATATAAAATTATAATTTAAAAAGAAACTTTTGTAGATCGATATTCATACACACGATATTCGTTTATCAATAGAATTAACAGATTATGGCTGGTAGTTTGGTTAAACATTTTGTCAACATTTTGTACACAATCTTATTAATTTAGTATAATCACCTGCATGTTTCTTCTCATTGTATAAGTCCATTCTTTAGGTCTCTCTACCCAGGGAATGTTAGGAATTTCTGGGCAGTCATGGTCAGATTCTGATTCATTGCCTCCTCCATTGTCTTTCTATAGAAACAATATATATTCATTCACTTTTAGAAGGCTATGAATATCGTATATTTTGTATCTTATTATATGTTAAAAATATACTGTTTCTTAGAACAAAATTTTCAGGACAATTTAAGCTAAAAATTCTGCGGTCTTCTAAAGGCTTGTATTACCAAAAATTTTAAGAGAAAAAGGGTTAAATTTATTTGAACTCTTAATATTAATATTGATACATAATTTTTTGTAAAAATAAAAAAAATGTAATATAAATTATAAACTATCTCAGAAGTATTATAAGATATAATAAAGCATTGTGCAAGAGCAATAGGTCTATTTTGTTATTGTGTATATAAGCTGAACATACAAATCCGTCCATTCTCGGGAGAAAACGGAAACCAGAATCAAAGATACGGGGTCCATTCAAAATAGGACAAATCTGGTGTCAATGCCATTGTTAAATCCTAGTATTTTGCACGTCCCCGTTTGATTATCGCTGTTTCAATTGCATACTCTATACGATGAGTGTACAATTTTGCCCCACTGACTCTCGTAATCCAACGACGGATGTTGCCCTTTATTGATAATCCCTTCACGTTGATATACTTGTTGTTAAACGAACGCTTGATTTCTTAATCGTCATTATCTATAAGAGCTATGGAATGATGCAGGAATACATGACTTCATAACCTATCATCATATTATATATACATATGTGTACGTATGTTGCAAATGTATGTATATATCACAGAGAAAAGAGTGAGAAAGCAAAAGAAGCCTGAAATAGCCAGAGATAGCCTGAGATCTGATGGGCAGTGTTTTAAATGAAACTCGTCTACTGGCGCCTCTATGTGCACAAAGTGTAGAACTATGTAGCCATGGATACATTCGGCGGGTAACATATCCACATTTTTCAACTTTGGGAGCTTTCCAGCAAGAGACACAAATTGACACAAAAGAGTCGTTCTGGCCTTTTTCGATAATCAGAAAGAACAATTAAAGACAAAATGACTTTTGAGTCAATTTGTGTCTTTGCTGGAAAGCTCCCTTTGTTACCTACCATTGCTTATACTAGCAGCTGATACCATGCTCTCTATATCATTGATTAATTAGTATTGATTGATATCATCAGGCGGCGCAAGCAGTCCCGTTTTGTCGTTATATATAATCGTAGCTTGGTACGCTCATCGCCGGGGGAAGGGACAGTTTGCTTGGTATGGTGAAGGGAGGGAAGTTATAAACCTCTCTATTATTCAGAAAACTATAATTATTTGTTTGTTATTATTAGAAATATTTTTAATATTGATCTTGTTTGTTTTATTATTTATTTATAATATCTGTAGAAGGCTTGCAATAGAGAGAGAGGTATAATATATATAAATCACCAGATTACAAACTGTAATAGTAGCACATTACATTAGCATTATAATTTTTTACTTAATATAAATGTGAAATAACACATGTTGTACTAATAGTTACATTATTGAATAAAATTAAAAACGTAAAAATAATAATATGGTTCAAAAAGAATAAAATTAACAATAATAGACTAGAAAGGCTACGAGAAGCCAAATAACATATATATATATATTTCTTATAATATTCAAAATATAAAAATAATAAACATTATAATTATAATGTCTGTTCATTAATGAACAGACGTTTCAATAACGATCAGGTCATTATTAATTAATGTTAATATAAATTATAAAATAAAAATAGCAATTTCATAAAAATAAAAATTTTTATAGACTCCTTATATTAATACAATGATAATAATAACAAAATGTCTAACTGGGCGTTAGGAATCAGCGAAGGATATAATATTGTGCAAAGCTAACTAATACCTATTCGTAAATCAAGAGACGCAGTTCGACAGATTTTATAGTACGATAAGCGGTAATTTTTTATTGTTGAGGATGGCTCAAATAGTAAGCCGAAACGTATAAAATTGAATTTTTGATTTATGATTAGGTATTAGTTAGCTTTGCGCAATATTATATCCGGCGCTGACTCCTAACGCCCAGTTAGACATTTTGTTATTATTATAAAAATAGCAGTTACACATACAAATTTTATAGTTAGGTAAAATATAAAAATATAAAAAAATTCGACAAATTACTCTCTCCTATCCAACAAATGCATGTGTTCGATGGTTCAGACTGATAAATGTGTAGTTCAGCGCTGATTGTACTTTTTTTTTTCTTGTAAAATAAATTATATATTCTTGATCAATATGAGTCAAATGATAAAAACACAGTTCATATTCAGTCTCAATAGAAATATGAAGCAATAATGCAATAGAGATCAGAGTGTAAAAATGTTTTCAAATTTATTTCAAGAGATGTTATAAATTTATAAAATCAATTAATTATTAACATCTTAATTTTTTTATCGCACAGTTTTTTAAAGATGTTTTATATATATTTTCAAAACGATAACAAAATTATGAAAAAATTACAGATTATTCTAAATTATGTTTAAAAATAATACGACAAATTTTATGACGGTTTACTGTCTGAAGCATAAGTTATTCTAATAAATAGTAGTATTTTTTAAATCTCTAATAAAAATATATGGAAATATTATAAAATAAATGATAAAAATCTCAATTTTTTAATATAAGTACATTAAATATTGAGTATTATTTACGTAGAGTTACATTGCGATGCATGAACTAGAATAAACAAAATATTTATTTGTTCTATATCTTGTATAACTATTCAGTAAATCGCAATGAAACTTTGCATAAATTATTTTGAATGTTTGAAGTACTTATAAAAGAAAAATGTAAATTTTTTAATTATTTAAAAAATTTTCATTTTTAACAATAAAAATAACAACAAATAAAATAAATAAACTACAAAAATGTGTTATTAAACAAAAATATAATTTTATTTACACAACTTTCATATGTATATAGTTTATTTGAAGTGTAAATATTAAAAATCCAAATTTAATTTTCTTTGCAGAGATTGTACTTTTAATACATTCTTAAGGAACATCCTAAAAACTTAATGGATGTTGCTCGAAATTGTTATTGTATGGGTAATTTGTGTTCTGCGCGTATTTATATTTTATTCATTCACATTAATTATATAATCATCCATTTATTGAGATCGAGAGATTGCTCTCTTAGCAGAAATAGGCGTGGCGTTTAATATGTTAAAATATAAAATCTCTGCAAATAGTAAATAATAAGAGAAAGGACATGTAAAATGACGGCAGAAATGTCAGTATAACGATTGCAAAAAGAGATAATTAATATGATAATAAGTTTTTTATGCTACTTGCATGAGGAGTACTGACAAATTTTTAAGTTATTTTAAACGTACGTGCGTTTAAATATATGGAATGTTACATGATACTAATGACACATATGTTTATGTAACCAAAAAGTTTTGACACCATTTTCTCTTCTAATTACTTCAGATTTGATTGGTGGTTACGCATTCCCTTAATTAATCGCATATTTCTCTCTTTTTTTTTTCTCTTAGTATGGCGATCATAAAAGTGATGAATAAATGACTTGCTACAGACTTATTAATCTATTACTTCTTATTCAGGATTATGAGTGCTGTTTATTTATTGAAATATATTACAAAATAAAGCTAATTATAATATAAAGTATTTTATGATTAGATCATGGTTGCTTTTGTTTTGTAAGAAGAAAATATCTTTATTGTAATATAGTTTTAGGTAATCTATGATATTGGTGTTAGATTTCAATATTCTACTACAGAATTCTATTTATAATTTTATACACCATGTATGTATATTCTGATGCATGAGAGTGTATTTTATTATATATAATTTTGATTCTTCAAATGTTTCTTGTATTGTATTGAAAAATAAAACCAAAGCCAAATAAAATTATAATATCTAACATGTGTAAAGAATTTTATGATTAAATTATAATTTTGTTTTTGTTTTATAAAAAAGATGTCTTTATTAAAATAGAGACAATTAAATTAGATGATTTATAATTCGCGTCAGACTTCAAAATTGTATATTATTACAGAATTCTATTTATAATTTTATATGTCGTGTATTTTCATACATTTTATTACATATTTTATATGTATAAGTATATGCAGTTTAATTCTTCCATTTTTTTTCTCTTCCTGTCGTATCATCGACATATATAAAATTATAAATAGAAACATTAAATTATAAATCATCTAGAACGAGTTTAATACCGAAATTATCAGTATTAATAAATATATAATATAATTTGAAGCTTTTGGAAATCCTCGGAAATACCGAGGAGGATTTAAGACGAAATTAGTTATCGATCGCTTCTTTCATTCATATTGTATAACGCGCGATATCTCAAAGTGCATGTCGATCTCGCGGTTTGTAGGGAATAAATCATGCGTACGTTCGGCATTATAAAGCGAGAGATCGATGACGTGGGTAAACGTTCCCCTTCGAGTCTTTTTATATGTCGCTGGTTTTCGTGACATAGAACTTTTCATTGTATAATAGATGTTCTGAAAAACGTGTTGCACTATACGGATCGTTATCTAGCGCCATGGCGACACGATCGTTTTGGGCTTTGTGCCAATAGAAAGGATTTCTCTATTTTATCTCTGATTTATCTCTGACATATCTCTTTCCAAGTTTTTAATATTCTAACTGAAACGCAAGAAGTCTTCCCTTTTAGATTATAACTTTTAATAATTAACTCTTCAAGTCAAGTTGAACTTTGAAGACGCAATCGATATTTTAATTATGAATTCTGGTAAATAAATTGAAATCTGTAAAAATATAAGTAAGATATAATTTGACTTCTATAAAAGTAAAAATTTGTTCTTAAATCTTTCACAAAGAATTTTATTCAGATTTTTTTTCATTTTTATATAATTAGGAACAATATAAAAATCTGCATCAAAGCTCAAACACTCAAGTCATTAATAGAAAGTGCAAAATTTCGTATGGAGGGTTAAATTTAATAATCCATATATAATTTTATGACCATACAAAGGAGAGAGATCTTTTATCGCTCGAATTATTGATTAATAGGATTATAGTTACAAAATGCATGTACATTATACATACTCTCCTCTCACAAAGTATTTCATAGAAATAAGGAATGTGTAAATGACATTCTTTAGCCTTAGAATTTATTAATATGTTAAATATATCTTAGGAATAGAAAAACATATAGATATGTCATAGAATGTGATATAAACGGACAAAGAGCCCGTTACACATTTCCTATGTCTGTATCATATCGCGCTGAAACTATTACCGGCAAAACCGTAATAATTATCAATCTGCAAAGCGCCCGACAGGAAGATTAGCGACGCGTAATAACATGTCGGTTCTTATCCTTTCGCGGCATGATTTTCGAATTGCAGGCAGCAGGAAACGCGGTATGCAGAACGCTCGTGGATATCGAGAGTTGGGAGGGAACGAAGTGGAGGAGAACGACGCAATTTGGTTACGAACTGTTTAATGACTTTTACGACGCGCTTCTGGTTGCAGTAATCGACGGCACGTTTTCTTCCGGGATATGGGTAATACGGTTCTCTTTCGATCGCCAACGCCACGCTTTCGCGATGAAAGTTCGCGTATGTGTATGTGCGTGCACGCTTCCAGTTTGTACAGTTTCAGCTTATATATCGCTTGCGAATGTGTTTCTTAGCGATGGGGCTCGTAGAAAATGCGAAACAAATCACTTCCGTGGGGATTACGATGTTCTGTTGCGCTCGAATATGCATTTTCGGGATCGCG